CACATACTGCTAGACTCCATTTACTAATATTTTACTTGGCTTATTTTCAATAAATATTTATGTGTAAGACTGCAGGCAGCTTAATTTTTATGCTCTTTGTCAGATTTTGATATGCTGGATTTGATTTTTTTTAATGAGAATTTTTTTTGTTTTTCTCTGTTCTAGAACATTCGAAAAAGTATCAAAATTACTTGTTCCTTGAAAGTTTGAAAGAATTCATGAATGAAACTGCCTCAGCCTGATGTTATTTAGGAGAATTGGCTATTTAAAAACACTCCTTGTTTGGGCCAGGCACCGTGGCTCACGCCTGTAATCCCAGCACTTTGGGAGGCTGAGCTGGGTGGATCACCTGAGGTCAGGAGTTCGAGACCAGCCTGGCCAACATGGCAAAACCCTGTCTCTACTAAAAATACAAAAATTGGCCAGGTGTGGTGGTGTGGCCTGTAATCCCAGCTACTCAGGAGGCTGAGGCAAGATAATTGCTTGGATCCAGGAGGTGGAGGTTGCAGTGAGCCGAGATCATGCCACTGCACTCCAGCCTGGGCGACAGAGTGAGACTCTGTCTTACAAAAAAAAAAAACAAAAAAACAAAAAAACACAGTTTTCTCTGGACATTAAAAATACTAGTTTATTCCATAGGGACTTAAATCAGCCCAAAGAGGCAAAGATATTCATTTTACTCCATTAGGCTGTTTCTTTCCTCTTCTCATTCACTTTTATTAATAGTGATAAACATATGTTTACCTGGTAAATCCCTCTTTTCTTCTTATACAAGTCTGGGTTAATTACAAAACAACAGTGACTTTTTCCAGGGCCACATCTAGGTGCATGACATACTTTGGAACACTCACAGTATAATTGGGTACCTGATGCAAATTATTTGCATATGCAAGCAACATTTGAGTTAAAAGTGTTATGGACTTCCTGAGATTAGCATTAATTGTTCTTCTTTGTTTCTTCTACCTTCTCTTTCCCAGCTATTTAATAGGAGCCTCTGTGCTAGAGAAGGTGGCTGGAGAAGAGCCACAGAACTAGGTGAGGGGGTGGGGAGAGTGAGTGGAAACCGATCAGAAACCTTTATTGGGAATTAGATTTTCCCTGCCTCACCCCCCTCCCACCCCCAAAAGCCTACAGTTCTTCCGGGCCATGGTTTGAGCCTGCCATTCTAGAATGTTCCACAATGCAACTATTACTTTCCTGTAGAGGTCATGAAACGTAGATTTTTGGCTTTCCGGTCTTGCTGAAAGATCTTTATTTCAGTGAAATACCAATCAAGAAGCTACTTTGAAAAGTGTCATATGCCGTCCCCAGCCTTGGTTTAGGAATAACTTGTGCAAAAGCCACAAATGCTCTTCTTCACAAAACCTCTACTGTGGTTTTCGCACATCACTGCTAACTCTAGCACAGTCTTTCCTCTTTCTTACAGGAGTAAGAGAAAGTATTAGCACTAAGTCAGCTCTGTTGACATTTCCGGTTTCAGAGGAGCTAACTCTGAAAATGCAGTATTTTTTACAGTTCACTCACTCTGTGAAGGATATTCCCAAATCTCATCCCAGTGACAGAAAATCCTTATGTGTCCTAAGCTGCAAATAAGCATTGTGCTCCCAGGTGGAAGAGGATTTTGAGATAAGTTTTCGTTAAGAAGGATGGAAATAGGAGCATTGAAAAATGACGAAATGCGTTAATTTTCGAGTTCAGCCACATGAGTAAAATCCCGGATTGGCATTTTGTACCTAGTGATTACTAGTGCTGCGAACCATCGAAGGCTGGGGACAGCGGTATGCAATGTTGGAAGAGAAGAAAAACACCCTCGTGACTCCCCACCGGTATAGCTCAAAGTCTCCAGGAGACTTCCTTTCCCCAAATACCTGTGGGTCTACCTGGACTCAGAAATGTGTGCTCTCCTGCTATCAAAACCACACCACTCCCCTTGTCTAGTAAATTAGCCAGACATGGCCCTTGAGATAGTGCTGTGAGTTTGGTTTTTTAAGGTAACTTCCTTGCCTATAATTAGTTGGCCCTTAATCCTCCTTAAGCTTCCTCTTCCCATCCTGGGGTGTGTGGAAGAGGGCCAGGGGAGAGAAGGACTGTGAAATCCTCAAAGTCCCCAGAGCTCTGCCCCCTAACCCCAGCCCTCGGAGGCCCCCTGAACTCCCTCCGCTTCTCAAATTCCCCAGCTTCTCCCAACTCAGTCCTTGCCAGCACTGAGAGTAGCCCCATCCCCACCCTCCCAGGCAGGGGAAGGGGCAGCTTTAGGGCTTCCTGGAAATTTACTCCCTGACAGCTTTCCCAGGAGGATTTGCACTTAAAAAGGACATTTGGGGAGGGAGCCTGCCCCTCTGTACAAAGCTTGTCCTTTAGAAGACCTGGACACAGCCTCCAGGTGGGAAGATGCCACCTGTGTGGGGGAAGTGGGAGGTTATCCTGAGGAGAAAGTGTGTGAAGGAGGGTTGGTCTGGGGCGGGGCAGTGGTTGGGTGGGGAGGACAAGACTTTTTTGCCTACACTACTCCCACCTTCCTTTTTCCCATTTGTTTCACCAAGATTTTTCTTCCTGACTTGTTTTTGGACACTTTCTGTACTCCTCTTGTTCTACTCCTAAACTGTCCGTGCACCTTTCCACTACCTTGTCCCTGAATATTTTTTGCTGTGTCCTGTTCCTTGTCCCAGTCCCAAATCATTCGGCCTGCCCTTCCCTTGTCCCTGGATCTTTTTGCCGAGTGTCACTATTTTTAGACAAAGAGCCTTTTCCAGTCCCGCCTTGAACCACCCTACGTAGAAGCCTCCTTGTAGATGATGTGAGAGTCCAGCTCTAGGAACTAGCTAACTCTTACCTGGGGCTGGGGGCCAGGTTGTGGAAGGACAGAGATTGGAAAGAGAGCAGGACCCCTTCAGCAGCCCTGCTTGCCTTCTGCAGAGCACAACAGCCTGGCCTGAACAAAAATGTTCCTAGTGGCAGAAGATACTTCTCCAGAAGAGTTTGCTTTTATCACACTTAAAGATAGATAGATAGACAGACAGACAGACAGATAGATAGGTAAATAGATAAATAGATAGATAGATAGATAGATAGATAGATAGATAGATAGATGATGGGTAGATATAGCTATAAATACATGTTTTTTATACAAGTAGCACATATTCATTGTGGGAAACTTCAAAAATATAGACAAGTTAAAGCAAAAAGGTAAAGATACCCCAGAACCTATCACCCAGACACAAGTCTTGTGGTACCTTGCAGACTTGTTTCTGTATGCACATGTAGATGAGTGTAGAGCATAATCAAAGAGCCATGCAGTTCCTCCACTTGGCTGTGTGTCCTGTGCTGATGAGCACCTTTCTGCTCAGGTCATGACTGGAGCAGCATTTCAAGAGATGGAACCGGTTTCTTCTACAGAAGTGTTGTATTAGTTTCCAAGGGCTGCCATAACAAATTACTACAAACTGGGGAGCTTAAAACTACAGAAATGTATTCTTTTACAGTCTTGGAGGCCAGAAGTCTGAACTTGAAGGTGTTGACAGGGCCATGCTCTCTCTAAAGGATCTAGGGGAGGGTCTTTCCTTGTTTCTTCCTAGCTTCTGATGGTTGCCAGCAATCCTTGATGTTCTGTGGCTTGTAGACACATCTCTCCAATCCCTGCCTCTGTCTTTGCATGACTGTTTTCCCTCTGTGTTTGTCTGTGTTCAAATTTCCCTCTTCTTATAAGATCACTAGTTATTGAATTAGGGTCCACCCTAATTCAGTATGACCTTATATTAATTTCCCTATTACATTTGCAAAGTATTTTCCCTGCAAAAAAGTCACATTCACAGGTTCCACATGGACATGAATTTGGGAAGGGGAACACTGTTCAACCCAGAACAGATAACAACCCCACTGCTTATTTGAAACTGCTTCAGATGTGGTTGGTTCCCCGATGTCAGGGGAGAGACAGGGCTCCAAGCATCAGTCACCTTGTGGCAAGGAGTACCAGGATGTCCTCCTCACAGTCAGAAAACATCTTGATGTCAAAGAGAGGGGCTATTGAGTTCTATGTGGAAGAGATCTAGTGGAAACTGTCGCAGGTCCACGCTTACCAAGATGGTGCAGCTCACCGTGGGGCATTGTGATGAAGAAAGATTCCCAACTCCACTTATTCACAAGGGAACACCCTTGCCACAATAGCTATTAAAGGTTGTGGTAATTGTTTTCCAATTATCTACCTGTGGGCAAAAATTAACATGGGTGCAGAGCATGGAGGGGAACTTTTAGCTGCTACTCATAAGCACTTTGGGGACACTCTCAACTTATTTTTACAAAACTGGAACTGGGCCAGTTGCAGTGGCTCACGCCTGTAATCCCAGCACTTTGAGAGGCCGAGGCAGGTGGACCGCCTGAGGTTAGGAGTTCAAGACCAACCTGGCCAACATGGCGAAACCCCGTATCTACTAAAAGTACAAAAATTAGCCAGGCATGGTGGCAGGTGCCTATAATCCCAGCTACTCGGGAGGCTGAGGCCGAAGAATCACTTGAATCTGGGAGGTGGAGGTTGCAGTGAGCCGAGATCGCGCCATTGCACTCCAGCCTGGGCAACAAGAGTGAAACTCCATCAAAAACAAAACAAAACAAAACAAAAAACTGGGAACATCCTATTTCCGCCATGATATTTGCGCTATCAGTGTATCACAGGGGTCCTTCTAAGCCAGTAAATATCCTTCTGTACCAAATGTATTTAACTGGTAATTCTAAATCTTTTGATAAAGGCCTTCCACTTCTCTTCCACCCCTGTGGTCCCTGTGGTACATCTTGTGCTGAGAGATTACCTTCTTCTCAAATCTTAACTATTTTACTGAATCTCTCCACCTCTTTTTGCACTCCTCAACTCAATCAGGAAAAAAAAAAAATTTCCTGCCCCTAGCGTTTCCTTAATCAGATGCAGACATGGCTGGATGTTCTTTGCGGGGCTGCTGAGTCAGAAGCCTGGACGGGCCAGCTTCAGTTTTAATAGAGTGGCTCAGGAAGGAAGTGCTAACAGAGATGGGTGCACAGTGCAGTCAGTGGGTGGGAGCTGATGCTGGCTAGAAGACCTGAGTCTTCCGAGAGGCAGCTTGATTCCTGGAAAAGACTACTGGGCTGGAAGTCAGGAGGCCTGGGGTAGTCTCACCTCTGCCGCTAACATGCTGCATGACCATGGTAAGTCATTGCCTTTCTCCAAGCCTCGGTGAGAAACAGCGGACCTGGCCCCAGAATACACTGTGGAAGAACTAGAGGTCTTCTGAGTCAGGCCCCCACTAAGAAGGCAGTCTCCTGTGAGGATACCTAGGAGATGAGTTAGAAGCAGAGGGCGCATTTCACAAACAGCCCCCAAGGGATTGTCAGCAGCAGACCTCAGGAAGAATCAGAGAGACAGAGACTGCTCAAGCCTGGGGTCCGAACTAAAGAGGGCAGCAGTTAGAAGTTGAAAAGAGAGGAGAGAGCCCTGAACGAGTTAAGTCAAGAAGAAGGATCATGGTAGAGGTAAATTGCAGGGTAGGCAGGGAAAGGCTGTGGAGAGGGGTTTCTGGGCAGTGGAGCCAGGGGCTAGCCTACTAAAGTTCTGGTGCTCTAGGGGAGATTCAGAAAGTAGGCTGAGGCCAGGCATGGTGACTCACGCCTGTAATCCCAACAGTTTGGGAGACCAAGGTGGGCAGATCATTTGAGGCCAGAAGTTCCAGACCAGTCTGGCCAGCATGGTGAAACCCTGTCTCTACTAAAAGTATAAAAATGAGCCAGGCGTGGTGGTGCATACCTATAATCCCAGCTACTCAGGAGGCTGAGACAGGAGAATCACTTGAACCCAGGAGACGGACATTGCAGTGAGCCGAGAATGCGCCATTGCACTCTAGCCTGGGCGACACAGCAAGACTCTGTCTCAAAAAAAAAAAAAAAAAAAAAAAAAAAGGCAGGCTGAGACTAAAGCAAGGGAGGTTTAAAAAATGGACTAGAACCACACAGACAAGTCTTAAATGTTCAATCATGTCAGGCTGATATTTGAAGGAAAACAAGTGCCAACTGTGTACCCACCTGCAGAGCACACCATCCCTGAGACTCTTCACCGTGGAAGAAAGGGAATTTTTTTGTTCTTTAAAAGCCTGATATTTCATGTTCCACATTAAGGGTTGACTGGAAAACCTGAGGTGCTGTACAGAGACAAGAGGAAGGCTTTGATCCTAAGCCTGCAACTCTAAGAGAAGAATGAGCCCATGAGTTACGGCCTGTGGGTTCTTCCACATGCTATTTCCTGTACCTGGAATGTATTCTTTCCTGACCCAGAAAATTCCCTCAGGGATTCCTCTTCCAAGAAGTCTTCCCTGAGTCTGTCACCTCTTCACCTTCACTCCTTCTGCATGCTCCCAAAACCCCTGCAATTCTCTACTGTGGGTGCTTACCCAGTGCACTGTAGTCCACTCTGGCTTTTGTATCCCCTTAACTAGCAGCTCTGTCTTTTTCATTTTGGATTCCCAGACCTATCAGAGAGCCTAGTGCTTGCCAAATGCTGGGAACATACTTACTGAAAGGATATTGACTACTCAATGTTAGCCACAAGGCCCCTCAGACAGTCTTGCCATAGGAAACATCAATGGGAGAACCTTTTGGAATTATATAGAGAGACGGGGTGGGGAACTTATGGATTTGTTGTTTTTTGTTGTTGTTTGTTTGTTTGGCTAAACTCACAGCAATAGGTGTTAGAGTCATACAAGGGTTACAACAGCACGCAAGAGCCCACTTATGACTAGAAATTTCTTCTAGAATTCCCTTCAAAGCATGATTCTCCTGCTGTGTTTGGGGTGGGGAGTGTGTGGCAGTGGTGAGGGGACAGAATCCTGCCTCTAGGATACAACTCTGGAGTGGACATGTAGCAAGAGAGCTCACCTTGGGAACCTGGGATGGAGGTAGGCATCTGTTAGAAAGAGAGACTGAGGATTCTGGTCACACTATCAAAACTAATACCAGAAACCAGATCAACACACCCACCATCCCCATTCCCAACCACACTCATCTATGCTGGAGATGATTATCCCCACACCCTTCCTATGTTACTCTTCCTGAGCCATTGGAGTGCCAGAATAAACGTAACCAACTAGAAGACTTCTGCAGAATGGAAAAGGATGGAAGATTCCAGACTAGAAAGGCCGAGGACAGCAGATAGACACTGAATGTTGAGATTTGTCAGTGGAGTGCTGCAAGACAGGATGCAAAGTTATGACAGGTGTCTTTGCTTCTAGAGAGGCTTCGCAGATATACATCCTATCCCACCCTACCCTGCCCCACCCCTGGGTGTATAGGTACTCCTCCTTCTTGTTCCCACAGCATTCTGTGTTCACTTCGACAGTGGTGCTTTTCACACCATTTATGGTTGTCTGTCTGCTCATGTATTGTTCAGCTTCTCTGAACTGGAAGCTCCTGTCAAAGCAGGGACTGTCATCTTTTTCTTTGTATCCCCAGGGTCCAGCTCAGCATCTGGCTTACAGTAGGCACTCAGTGAATGTTGATGTGAACAAATGAACTGATTCAAAGAAGCGTCTCTTGAAGTTGCTTCTTTCCAATCTAGCCAACAAATGCAGTGTTCCAAGTGGAGGTACCAGAGATCACATCATCTTCAGCTTTCTGCCACAGATCCACATGAAGAAACACACATGGTGCAGCTAAAATCCTTAATGTTAGATAGGACTTTGCATTGGACACTTTAAAATGTGATGTCTGGCTTTGAAGAGGGCGTATAACACAAATTTACTGTGCATCAATCTCACTAATGGAAAATAAACAATAGCCCATACATCATCTTTCTTGAAGTGTAATGTGTTTAGGATAAAAGTTGATTGGTCAGTGTTAAAATATATGTAAATTTTAGCCTTTCCAGAGCCCATGAAAATGTCTGAAAAAAAAAAAGCTTTTAAAAATGAGTAAGTACAAGGTTATTTGTTACAGCATTTAAAAATATCATATGATTGGAAACAACCTAAATGTTCATCAATAAGGGACTAGTTAAAAAATGTGTAGTACATCATCATTCATGTAATGGGATACTATGAAGTTGTAAAAAAAAAAATAGAGAATAAAGAAGTGTTTTGCTGACCTAGAACAATCTCCAAGATATATTGTTAAGATGTAGAACAATGTGTTATATACTGCTGTGTGTTAAAAGGCTGAAAGGGAATATCTATGTATTTGCTTGAAGGTGCATAAAAGCATCCCAGGAAGATACATAAGAAACTGACAACACTGGTTAACAATGGAAGACTGAAAGGAAGAGGTGGGGAAAAAGACTGCATTACATACGCTTTCATACTCTTTCATTTACATTTTAGACCATGTGAATGTATTATTTAGTCAAAAATAAATATAAAAAGGAAGAAACCACAACAACCATAGGAAATACAAAAAGTGACATCAACGTGACATAAATTTTGACAAGCAAGAAAGGCCATGAATTTGGACTAACAGAGAGATCAGAGCAGTAAACACTGCAATTCAATAAGTTGTAAGAGTATGCTCTCCCAAAGAAGCATTAATCACAGAGTCAATGAATGTGAGGAGCAGAGGTGGGCTATGAGGCAGTCATTGAAGAGCCGCAGTGGAAACAGCTGGGACAGGTGGCCCTCTCCCTCTCTCTCCTTTCCCCCAGTGGACCATTTGTTAGGAGCGGCATTTGGCGTTGGCCCTCAGGCTAAAGTTGCCTAGAGAGGGCTCTAGGAAGGATGCTGAGACCTCCACAACAGATAGGACAAAACCAAAAGGAAAACCAGTATTAGTCAAGAGTGAAACCTTCTACAAGGCTCCGCCCCCATAGAAAAGCCCTCCTTACTTCATCAGTTGTGGGGGTCCCTGGTCTTCCTGCCTCTCCACCCACATAACCTAAAGGGAAGCCTGACTGTTGACATTTCCTACCCACTTAAACAGAACCCACAGTCAGCCCTCCCATTCCGGAGAGAGGTTTGTGGGGGAAACAGATAGATCAACACAATTGCAGAGGAAACTCATGCCATCTACCCATAATAACCAACACAGGTTTTCATTCATAAATAAATAAATCGCCAAGCATTTGAGAAAAACTAGCAACACAATGAAAAGGAAAAGTAAACAAAAGGAACTGGCCCAGAGGAAAGAGATAGAATTAAGGGAATTGAAGAAAATGTAAATATATTCTGACACATACTGCTCGAAAAGCTAGCCAAACACTATTCTCCCAGGTTAGAATGGTTTACAGCTTCCCCTTCTATCTCTATAAAATAATATTTAGTAATTTGGCAAATATTTACTGACGCCTTACAATGTGTCACAACTCTTTACAATGTGTCAGGAACCAAAGGTTCTGGGTTTGTTTGTTTTTTTTAATTACCTTTTTCCTCTAATAGTTAATGGTAGAAAAATCAGACAAGTCCATTATGATATGATGTGGCAAATGCTATGATAGATTAAGCACAGAAGAGTTGGGGCGCAGTGGCTCATGCCTGTGTAATCCCAGCACTTTGGGAGGCCAAGGCATGTGGATCACCTGAGGTCAGGAGTTCAAGACCAGCCTGACCAACTTGGTGAAACCCTGTCTCTACTAAATTTGCAAATATTAGCCAGGCAGAGTGGTGCACGCCTGTAATCCCAGCTGCTCGAGAGGTTGAGGCTGGAGAATCACTTGAACCCGGGAGGTGGAAGTTGCAGAGAGCCAAGATTATGACACTGCACTCCAGCCTGGGTGACAAAGCAAGACTCCGTCTCAACAACAACAACAACAAAAAATACTAAGTACAGAGAGCACCTTGTCAGCTGGAGCGGAATATTTCATTGAAACATTAATAGATGGCCGGGCGCTGTGGTTCACACCTGTAATCCCAGCACTTTGGGACACCAAGGCTGGCGGATCATGAGGTCAGGAGTTTGAGACCAGCCTAGCCAATATGGTGAAACCCCGTCTCTACTAAAAACAATTTTTAAAAATTATCCAGGCGCGGTTGCACACGCCTGTAGTCCCAGCTACTTGGGAGGCTGAGGCAGGAGAATCGTTTGAACCTGGGAGACGGAGTTGCAGTGAGCCAAGATAGCTCCATTGCACTCCAGTCTGGGCGACAGAGTGAGACTTTGTCTCAAACAAACAAACAAAAAACATTAATAGATAAGACAGGAGGGAATTAGCCTGGGCACAGGAATAGCATTAATAAGCACAGAACATTTCAGGAAATAAAACTAGCTTAAAATGCTTGATGCTTAAGATTGAACCTGAATGAGTCATAGATGATGAGGAGAGAAATGTGGGCAGGGGTCAGTTCATCTGCCTTGTTAAGTATCGAGACCCTTTCCTCCAGTCTAGAGCTTTTCAGATATATTCAGGGAAAAGAACCCTTAGGAGGCCCTTTGTACAACAAACAAAATACTGATATATTTAACTCTTTCATATGTACTGGAAATAATTTTCCAAGCAGAAACTATGACTGTGTTCTGGGTTATCAATATAAAATCACAACCACAAGCATATTCACATCAAAAACAAACTGTTGAAGTATGATCCATTGTTTTTCTTATTTTTCCCTTGATATTTGCTACAGATCAATCACTAGCTAGCAGAAAAATAGTAGTAGAAAAGGGTGACCGATATTTGAGAAAATTCTGTGTAAAAATAACTGAAAATGAGACTGCAATCCACTAACTTAATTCTTTCTATAAACTTAGAAAAAGATGGCCAATATTTGATTTTGGCTATAGACACTTTCATGCACTCCTATACATGTATACATTTCTTGGAAACTAAATTTGATAATCATTTCTGGATGTGTTAGGCAGCTGAAGATGTTAAAATGGAGCCCGCTCCCTGTTGGGGAGAAACAGGCATGAGAGGTTCTGAGACAAAGGACTTCTGATACAGAATCAGAAATCAAAATAACAGCCTAAATTGGGAAGCTGGAAAGGTAGCCAATTGTGGCATTTTGGTAGAGGACCAGGCAGAAGGATGGGAGAAAGAGAAGGCTTCAAGAATTGAGGTACGAGCAGGGCATTCTGGAGTCAGTTGCTGTCAGTGTGAAAGATGGATGGGGTGGGACAGAAAGAGAAACAAGATAAGTTAGGATGGTACAATTCAGTAATCTACAAAAGAGAGGATATATGGGCCTGGAGATGACGGCAGGGACCATGGAGAGAAGTGGTGGCAACCAAAGGTTTCGGAGGAAGAAGCCACTAGAAGTGGGGCAATCTGGGGCAAGAGAGTGAAGAATCATGAGTGGATCCCAGATCTCTGACTTGGGCAATTAGGTGAGTGGTGGGACCATTCACAGAGATATGGAGAACCTTAAGGGAGAACAGGTCTGGATTGGAATTAGAGTGGGGAGATAAATTAAGTTTGGAGCATACCAAATGTGAGATGGCTTTGGGATACCCAAGTAGAGATTTTCAGAGGCAACTGTGCTTACAACTCTGAAGTTCAGGACTTCAGTTATAGATTTGAGATTTATCACAATGAAGGTGAGATTGAAACCCATGAAAGTTCATGAAACCCACGAATCACCCAATGAAACCATGGAGAAGAAGAAGAGAGGGGAGGAGAGGAGAAGGGAAAAAGAAAGGAAATAGTGAGAAGGAACACCAAAGTTTTAAGGGGTATGAAGAGAAAAGAGGATAACATGAAGAAGGATTTTGAGAGGCAGAAGCCCTTAAGAATGGGGTGATATAGAATTCAAGCGGGGAGAGCATTCAGGAAGATGACAACAGGATAATAGGTCAACAGAGTAATAGAAAGGTCACTAAAAATAAACCCTAAGAAGTATTCAGCCAAAACTATTATTGAGCTAATAATTGTGGGATCAATTTCAGGGGAATATTGTGGGCAGAAGTCAGACTGTAGGAGACTGGGGATCAAGAAATTGAGGCAAGGAGGTTGGACAACAACTCTTTTTTCAAGTTGGTCACGTGAACAAATCCTGACATTGTCTGCATCTTTGTGGTTCCTTCAGCATCCCCTCCCTCGGGTCTTGGCTGAGCTGATTGCAGGGCCCCTGCAGCTCTGGCACTCTCAAGTTGTATAAAACTGTCAGTGCAGAAGTCCTTGAGCCCATTTTGGCTCTCATGATAATTTTCCTTCAGTGGAACTAAGGTTACTTGTCTAAGAACCGAAGTCTCTGACTTGACTGATCAAAGTTCATCACGTGCATTGAAGCCACCTACTTGGCAGATGTAGTGAAAAGCTACATAGATCTGGGCCCAGGACAGGATGCTGGGGCGTGGGAGGGGAAGAAAGCAGGTGCTAACTATATAGATAGCATGCCTATCGGAGCAGTTTTTACATTTCCTATTTGTCTCTCAAAACAATTTTATAGGAATCATCAAAGTAATTTTATCATGGTTTCTAGACCAGGTTTGGATGTGAGGTAGGGATTTCCACAGCTGCTTTTAGTTTGAAGGAAATTTGATAAGATGATGCAAAAGTCCTTCAGAAATGTGTAATCCTACACACTTCAGTGATTCAATTCATTGTCAAAACTTAAGGTGTTTTTAATATCGTTATTGTTCATTTGGTTTTTACCAACATGTAAGGAGTTGGCAATTATTTGTAAAACTCATGTCTTAGGCTAAATAAATTCCAAAAAAATCAGGATGAGAATTGTTTATTGCTTAACGTGTTTCAAATTTCTTCCATGCACTTCTTTATTAGATCTTCACAGCAACCTATGGGATAAGCAAGACAGGTGCAAGTGCCTCCTTTGGGTATGAGGAAACTGAGGTCTAAAGAGATGAAGAGATTTGCCCAAGGCTCATAGCAATTTATTGGTAGAGCAAAGACTAGAATTCAGATCTCTTAA